ACTATAGCTTACAGAGTATCTGAGATGTGGGACGCGCTGCGGCATCAGGCGGTAATAACGGAGACTTGAGACGTACTCTGAGCTAGTCAGTCTCAACGAGATAGACGCAAAACTGACCCCCAGATCTTGCCCTCATTTCTCGAGTCCAGCATGAGGCTGCTCATCAGCTGGAAGTCCAGGGCAGCCTAGTAGCTTACCTCATCTGCCTTCCGATAAAAGCGTACGGAAGCGCTCGGGAATGGCTGGGCGTCAGCTAGCGACCTCGAGGCAACTGACCGACCATTGAGTCTCCTCGGTATTCCCCAGCTGGGCGTGAGCTACGACAACATGCACACACCTAGATCAACAAGTACCTCAGTCTCAACGGCTGTCTTTCGCCAGCTTGAGAGGTCACTGAGTCAGTCAGCTATGCTTGCACGTCCCGCTAGCTAACCCATTCCACAGCCTTTCATCGGCATCTGCTGATGAGCTGCAGTTCACAGGACACGATTATCAGCACGACGCACATCGCTTGCCCGTCTCCGTAGGAGCGGGGCACTTACGCTCGCAAGCTCTGAGGGTTAGTTATGAATCGGGTCGACCAGTAAACTAACCATTGTTCTCTCACCGGCCCCTCTGCCCGCTCGAACAGCGTGACACTGGTAGTCAGCTCGCTGCCGCCGTACGATGAAGCTCGCCTTCGCTAGTCAGAGCTTGCTGCTTCACCACTCTCACGATCGCTGGTAGTCAGCTACCGGGGGTTGCTAAGCTGGTAACTCACCGACGTTCTCGCCTCACCGCGTATTGCATTAATCCGACGGTCGTAGCCTGTGGTTCAGCGTTGCGAGGGTCGTTAAGCTCACGTCATCTGCCCCCTTCAGACATCTGCACAAGTCAGTTATTCCGATCCTGAGGACAACCCACTTGCATATTTGTGCTCCCCTCACCACCAGTCGCAGCACTGGTGTCAGCTCCTCAAGCCAGGTAGTCAGCTACCCTGCCTCGGCGTCCTTGGATGAAGATGTCTTCTCTCTCTTACGGTCATCTGGCAAAGTCAGTTGCGCTATCGCACGTCGCTCGCAACTCCCTATGTTGTCAGATCTCTGGGGATCACGAGGTAGAGGGAGTCTGAGAGTCAGCTGTAAAACTCCATGCCAAAGCTGACCTCCATGCCAAAGCTGACCTCCTCCCCTAGCCACAACAGAAGGCGAGGCTGCGTTAGTATAAACTCCTGCTGAGCACAACTCACCGACCATCTTCCTTCCTATCGCACACACTCGACACCAACAAGACGTCGTAGAGCTGACATTCAGCTGGGATACAACGGAAGCAGCTCACCTCTTCGTCTCGAGGCAGATTCGGCTGCACGAGTCAGTTACGCATTGCAGAGGCTTTAAACTCACTCTCAACCTCCCCTCTCACGGCGGCCACTCGGGGTCGACAAAACGGGCGTAGATCTGTGAGTCAGCTAATGATAAGTGCAGCGTCAGCTCACCTCCTTCTCCCTTTGTGACCCTGCGTAGCTGTTTAAGTCAGTTAACCGGTCTCAAGCCCCAGAACTGACGTTATTCTCTCTCGAGTCCCGCCCAGTCCAGCTGTGCTCGCTGCCTAGGGCATCGTGATGCTGGGAGTCAGCTAGAAAACGCGGTCAGAGAGCTGAACCAACTGCACTTCCTTCTCTAGAGCATTGAGAACGAAACGAGTGGCGGCGCCAGACGGCTGGTCAAGTCAGTTATACCCAGACAAGTGTGTAACTCACCAAGATCATCTCATTTCGCGACATTTTCACTCTTCACCCCCTACTGGATCGTGGCGCGCTTGGTGTCAGCTCAACTTCAGCCTGGAACCAGCTTACCTCCCTCGTCTCCGAAACTTGGGTGAGAGTCCGTCACAGATAGTGAGGGCTCTGAAGGTCAGTTGCGAACACAGACGATACAACTCACTGTCTGCGCCACCTCTCTCGTAATGCAAACGATGAGAGGCTGGAGGTCAGCTGGGATGGTAGGCGCGCCAGCTCACCTCTCGCCCGCTTCGATAATGCCTCGGATGTCCGCGAGGATCTGGGGGTCAGTTGGTCGCACGCTCCCTTAACTCGCCTTCGCCACCATTCTTCGCTTCTCATCGAGTGCTGAGAGCTGCAGGTCAGCTTCGTTGTCAACCGGATAGCTCTCCTTGTCGGGAACCCTCACGGATGTGACTGGATGGGTCAGTTACTCCTTGCGAAACGCTCAGCAAACTCACCAGCTTACTCTGTCTGCCGCCACGTGTTATTCGTCGAACGCCGCCAAGCTGAGTCTAAGCTCTCGGGTAAGGGCCCCCCAGTTCACCTCATACAGGCAGCTGCCACAGTGCCAGTGCGATGTCGAGCACTGGGTTTCAGTTACAGGACCGAGTCGAGCGAAACTTACCCTCTAGTCCTGGCCCACTTTGCCAAATGCGCATCTAGGTGTCAGCTATGGAAGGAGCGGGTGCTAGCTCACCTCGTACCACAACTGCTTGACTGTCTAGCCTAGGAAAACGGTGGGCTGATTGGGTCAGTTACTTCCACGATGTACTGCCTCCTAACTCACGCTCCCTTCTCTTCACGCTCCCTTCTCTTTGCGCCCTTCTCTTTGCACCCCACCCATCCCGACGTTGCCAGGCTGGGGATCAGCCGCGAAGCCAAAGGACGCAGCTCACCTCCATCCCGCTATCTGATGAAATGCTCTGCGACGTCTTACTACGTGCTGGTGTCAGTTTCATCCCAGACCGAACTCCTAACTCACCCTAGCCCATTGCTTGCGCCCCGCCTGCCCGCTTTCAGCGAGCCACAACGGAGCCACTGTAGGTGAGCTAACGAAGAATGCAGACGTGTGAAGCTCACAGCTCAGCTCAGCTTTCATCGGGACGGCCATGGGTTGAGTTCCGGGAGTATTCTGTTCAATGAGACTCCGAATTTGCCACCAAGTCGATGGCCGGCAGAGGGCCGCCTGGTCGTTAGCTAGTCAGGAGACCCATCGGCAGCTGTGTCACCTCTGCACTCACTGTGATGGGGATGGCTCAATGCGAATGGCAGTCTCCCTTCCGACAAGGTGGTAGCTATTGCCTGCGGTGGCTGGTGCAAAGAGCTGTCTGTCAGCTTTCAACATCCCTTTCTTTCAAACTGACCTCTCCGCTTGCTGCTGCGAGCGAATGGCCAGAGGTCAGCTTACCCGCCGCAGCGGGCCGATACTGACGTCGGAGTTGTTCTGTTGCTCCTAAGGAAGGTGGGTATGACAGTGAGCATGGCAATGAAGAGATGAAGAGATGAGAAGACGAGGAAAAGAGCAGTTGACGTGGACGACGCTGATCCACACTGTTCACTTTGCGCCCCCTCGCGCCCCTCGCCTGTTCAGCCTGCGCGCCTGTGCCCTCGCCTCTCACTGCCTCCACCTCCCCAACTTCCCCTCTAGCCCCTCTAGTCCCTCTCGCTCACGCGAAACGCACGCACACACCCAAACGCAGTGCAAAATGCTCAATGCATGTGACTATAGGACTGGGAATGGATACCATGATGCTAAAGTTTCTAAAAAGCGTTCAATGAAAAGGGATTCTATGCTTGAGGATTTAAGGTGAGACTACTGAAGACAGTCAAGGGGGGGGGGGGGAAACACACGACAACAAAGAGAAACGGGAAAGGGGGTCTCACGGCATAGTGAACTGGGGTCATTATCGGCCAGAAACTGGACCACTATCCTCCCTGCTAAATCACCTGCGAGCCTTGCGAGCCCGTGGATCAGACTCACAGCGCACAGCGGGACGCACTGGGATACCCCGCGGAGCATGCGGAGCCTCGTCCACACACACCGCCACGCCAGCCTGACACGGTTCGGCGCGGCCCGCGGCGAGCGAAATTCGCCGCTCACCTACACACTCTCCAAGCTCTCCTCACTATCCCTCGGCGCGGGGAAATCTCCAGGCCGAGAAGCCTCATACTCTCTCTGCCGCGCATGACCGCGCGCGCCCACATTGAGCGCGTTGGCGCCACGGCCCGTCGACGTGCGCCCGAGCACGCGCTGCCGGAGCTTGGACATGTTGCTGTCCTTGGGCGGCTTGAAGTCGTCGTCGACGTCGCTGTCCTGTTCCGTGCGC